TTATTTTTTGGTTCAGACAATTGTATTTTCAGATACCAAAACAAGTGACAGCAACTAGCAATTATTTTCATGTTGTGGAGGATGCTTGCACATTTTTAACTTTGAATTGGACGTTAAAAGCTACCTATTGGAAATTATACTATGGGTTTTTCCATTATGGCATTTACGTCTAATTTAAGTGAAAAGTTTCCCGTAGATTTGTAAAAGCTGGTCCCAGACGGCTTTGTACTAAAATTTTGCTCTATACCTCATAGCTTAATTATGATGCCTTCTCATAAAGTAGCAAAAAGGACTACAGTCTTAACTATACGTAGGGTGTTCACGATTCGGTTTGGGTCGGTTTTTATCTAAAAATAAATCAAATCAAGTAAGTCGTTTTTTCAAATATTGGAACCAAACCAAACCAATTAAGTCGGTTTTTTTATCGATTCAGTTTTTGTCGGTTTTTCGGTTTTTTCGGTTATTTATCATTTTTTTTCTTAAATATGAGACATACACTACCAAACGCATATTTCGGCGACTATATTTTCAACGTAACACTATCAAACTAATTGCTCTTTGAGAAATCTATCATTTAACAAGATATATTGATGATAATTGACTCAAATAGTGATGAATAATTTAAGTACTCAATTAAAAATTGATTATTTTTAATATAAAATAAATTCTTGTACTTAGCAAAAGAAAACTACCAATCAAACTAGAAGGCAAAGAATTAGATTATTATAATAGCAAAGAACTAAACTAAAAATATAAATGACTAATATGTACCATAAAATTTTAGAAACTTTATATAAAAATATACATATATATAGGTGTGATAATAAATTTATATAGCTACTTTTATAGTCGGTTTGGTTCGTTTTTTCGATTATTTTTTTATTAAAACCAAAACCAAACCACATTTGATCGATTTTTAAAATTTAAAACTAAACCAAACCTAAAAAGTATTATTTTTTTTAGTAGGTTTGGTTAGGTTTGGTTCGGTTTTTCGGATTTTTATGAACACCTCGAACTATACTCTCTCCGTTTCAATTTATATAAACCTATTTCCTTTTTAGTCCGTGTCAAAAAAAATTACCTCTTTCCTTATTTGAAAAAAATTTATCTTTATGCAATGATTTATAGCCACACAAAATATATGTGCCTCATTTTACACCACAAGTTCAAAAGTCTTTTCTCTTTTCTCAAACCCCATGTCCAGTCAAATGGGTTCACATAAATTGAACGGTAAAGGGCCAAATATACCCCTCTACTTTCGAAACTAGTCTAAGAATACCTTTCGTTATACTATCGGGTTATTTATACCCTGCAGTCATACTTTGAGTTCAAATATACCCCTCATTTAAACGGAGGGACACGTGTCATCATCCTGTTGATCAATTCTAAATATCTCCTAATTAATTAAAAAGACCCATTACACATACACGAAAAATAATTTTTTTAAGCAATTTTTTTTTTTGTAAAAACTAAAAATATTTTTACTAAAAACTGGAAAAAATAATTTTTTTTCCTTCAGTTTTTACAAAAAAACTGCTTTAGAAAAAACTGAAAAATATTTTCTAAAACAATATTTTTGTAAAAACTGAAGGAAAAAAAATTATTTTTTCCAGTTTTTAGTAAAAATATTTTTAGTTTTTACAAAAAAAATTGCTTTAAAAAAAACTGAAAAATATTTTCTAAAACAATATTTTTGTAAAAACTGAAAAAACAAAAACTGAAAATCAATTTTCTAAAGCATTTTTTTTGTAAAACCTGGAAAAACTGAATTGTTTTTACTAAAAACTGAAAAAAAATAAAAAAAAAATTCTCCAGTTTTTACAAAAAAAATTGCTTTAAAAAAAACTGAAAAATATTTTCTAAAATAATATTTTTGTAAAAACTGGAAAAAAAACTAAAAAGCAATTTTCTAAAGCAATATTTTTGTAAAAACTGGGAAAAAAAAGTATTTACTTTTTTTTTCCAGTTTTTAGTTAAAAATATTTCAGTTTTTTCGGTTTTTAATTGCTTTAGAAAATTACTTTTCAGTTTTTTTTTCTTCAGTTTTTACAAAAATATTGTTTTAGAAAAAAAAAATTCAGTTTTTTTAAAGCAGTTTTTTTGTAAAAACTGGAAAAAAAATATTTTCTTTTTTTTCAGTTTTTAGTAAAAAATTTCTTTTTAGTTTTTTCCAGTTTTTACAAAAAAAAAATAATTATTTTTTGGGTTTGGGTATTGGATCTTTTTAATTAATTAGGAGATATTTAGAATTGACTAACAGGATGATGACACGTGTCCTTCCATTTAAATTAGGGGTATATTTGAACCTAAAGTATAACTGCAGGGGTATAGATAACCCAATAGTATAACGAGAGGTATTTTTAGATCATTTTCGAAAATAGAGGGGTATATTTGAAACGGTGGAGTATATATTACTGACTAGTATACTACTCCTATAAATTTAAATTCATAAGCGTGTTGACTGGGTTCATTTTATTGTTTATTTAATGAAGACACAACCAGGCAAGTAAGGCACGACAAATTTTATTTCTGGTAGTTTATTAATTGTCATTGTTGTTTCACAACTTTGGACAAAACCTCTTGCAACTCCTCCTCCTTTTCTTTTATTTTCTTTAGTATGTGCATCTTTTAGACTGTGAATCAATAGAATAAGCTGTCCACCAATGCTTTTGGCAAACCTGAATTGTTTGGTAGAGTGCTCAAGATAAATTTGTACTACCTATAGAACAAAATATACAATTACCAAACTGTAGTCTAGCTTGGCCGGTTACCACTATTTCCCAAGAACTAATTTGCCAAATAATGCATTGAATTTTATTAACTCTAAGAATGAGCAAAGTTCACAACTAAACAAGTTGTAAGTTACCACCAGTAGATTTCGAATGTAATGGATGTAAAAAGAACATCCAGCGACCCTATGTTCTTGAATCCATTTGGTATAATTTCTCTTCTTGAAATCTTCTTGAGTTCCAATGTTTTACTAGGAAAAGAAAGGGAACAGATCAGTGATATTAAAACCTACGCAGATTATTGTATTCTTTTCTCTCCATTACCGCGAAATTAAATATTTTTTAGAGATTAGACTTAAATAAATTTTAGCGGGAAAAATAACTTCAATTTGTGGATCATTGTCAAAGTAAATGATAGAAAATATAGACAATTTTGTGAGTGGTCTTGGTATGAGAATCGTAATCGCGCTAATTGAGCCGCTAAAAAAGCCAGCTAAGTTCCCCTAAAGGCTAAAACATTCCCCAAATTTCCAGAGTTTGCATTGTCTCCTCCTTTTTTATAGGATGCTATTCCCAATCATATCATCTTTTTCTTCCACTAATACTGTGGCCCAGGCCAATCAGGTGGGATAAAGATTGATAGAATATTTTATGCAGATTTATGAAAATAGATGCTTAATTCTGGTAAAGCCAGGTCGTAAATCAAATGACAGTTAACTAACCAAAAATAAAGATTAACGAATTTAAAGGTAAAGGAAGTGTTAGTGAGTGAATTGAAGATGGTGTAACGGCTATATAATTTTGTTTTTATTTCTTAAGAAGATTTGTAGTTCAAGGCTTTTACAAATTCTTTGGAAGGGCAACTGTCACAAGTCATTCATTACGGTGACTTTTCCAATTCCAAAATCTATATCTTTGGTCATTTCTATATACTACTATTTTCTAAGAATTTCCTATACGTTTAACTGTCATCAGCAAGGAGAGAAACATGTACATCAAAAATAGAGATAATTGGAGAATTCTAGAAGATATTGGAAATGAAACTTTTTTGAAGAATTAACCTAAATAGCAGCCAGTGTTTTAAAAGGCGTGGGCATAACGCGAGACGTTTTATATATGCCTCAGCGAGGCGTAAGCCCCGAGACATGGGGCGTAAGCCCCATGAGTATTTAATTTTTAATATTTTATAAAATAATATAATTACAGTAAATATTTATAAACAAGTAAAATTGCATAAACATTAAAGCAAAACTATAAATATGTGAAATATATATATGCTCCATCCTCATAAAAAACTAGTCAAAATAATTTATTATACGCTACTTACAAACACAAATAACTTGAGTCGAAAAGAATAAAGTTTTTTACATGAAGAAACAAAAATGATGACTAACCTACAATTTGAACTTTGAACTTGCTGTTATCAAGGAGAATGAAGTTCTCTTTGTATTTGTAAAAAATAATTGAATATTCGTTGTTTTGAAAAATATTCGCAGACTAGCGAACAAGATAAAGAATTGGGAAAGACCATAAATTAGGGCTTTAATCAATAAAAAATATCTTAACTTTTAAATTTAATATATTTTAGTTTCTTTTTTAAAACTTTTGAGTAATTACAAGCTGACTTTTGAGAATTTGGGTATTATATGTAGGATTTATTCAACAATTTTTGTTTTAATTTGAAAATGTCTCTGGGGCTTACGCCTCACTACAAAAATGCACCTCAAACGCCAGGGCGTACGCTCCAAACTCCCGGGCGTATACTTCGAATTGTTGGGCGTATGCCTCTTGAGACTTTCGCCCCACACCATCGCCTCGGGGTATTTTTGGTGCGCCTCGCCCCAGGGCTCGCCCCGAAAACGCCTTTTAAAACACCACCTCACCCAACCACTTAAAACTAAAAATAACCGGCTGATATATAATATATATATATAAGATCATATATAATCAGTGTATAATCTATGTATACTAGCTAGAAAAAGAAAATAATGAATTTGATTGGCTATCTGTGTAAAATTCCAATTTTAAAGGAAGGCACATATGTGGCTAGTTAGGGCCTTACTCAAATTGGTTATTGGATCCAATGTTTTTTTGTTTGAAATCTAGTATCAATTTAGTCCAAAATGCATTTGAAGAGTATGTATCTATATTCAATATATTGTAGGGCCTCGGAGCCCATTATCGCATCAACTTGCCATCTGGTTCTTTTACTTTCTTTTAGTCTGAAGTGGATTAACATTTTCCTTTTGGTTCTTTAAGTTTGTAAAAAGTGAACATCTTTTTATTCCTGTCATATATTTAACAAAACTTTGAATGTTAAATTAGCATGAACTTGAAAAAAAGATTTAGCAGGGAATCACATTAGGAGGTACAATTTTTGTCTTTTGTTATCCTTATCTATTTCTGATGTCTGTGCAATCTTTGAGGTGCAATTTCTGTTATTTTTGATCTATTTTTAGTATTTGGTGCTATTTTTTATGGCAATATGAGATTTGAAATTTTCTGGTGCTTTTGGTTAAATATTTTTTCTCCCCACAGTTCCTCTTTGAATATACTATCCAAAATTTGTTAAATATTGAACGATAATCAAAAGTGCTCAATGTCGATAAACTTAAGGATCAAAACTGCTCAAAATTACTACTTTAAAATTACCCCCAAACATAAGAGAGCATATTTGTTATTTTCTCCTTATACATTTGGTAATTTTCATGAAAAAGAAAATAGGTTAAGACGGTATCGTTTCAGGTTTCGCCATCTTTGCACACTGGTGTAAGGGTTTTGAACATAAACCTCAAACAGTAGCCGGGTGAGAAAAAAAGTTTGCTGAATCTAAATGCACGTACAAGTAAAAGGTCATAAAAATGGCGTGGAGGCAAATTCTATTTTTCAACAGAAGATTAATCTCAGCACCTTCAAACTCGTCGGTGCTAACTGGGTTCGCTAGCTTTTCCTCCAAATCCAATCCTTACATAGGTATTTCAATTTCACCCTTGAGAATTTAATAAAGCTGTAATCTTTGTGAAAATATAACACAAACTATGGTGGGTGCAGTGAAGGTAGGGATACCAGAGTTCTTGAATGGAGTGGGGAAGGGAGTAGAGACCCACGTTGAGAAGCTAGAATCTGAGATTGGAGATTTCTCGAAGCTTCTTGTTACTCGCACTCTTAAGTTCAAGAAACTTGGCATCCCTTGTAAACATGTCAGTCTTTATCCCCTTTCTTTTTTAATTTATGTCATTTGTCCAATGTTTTTTTTAGTAAAAATGTTATTGTTTTACAAATGTGAGATGGAAGATTGTGTTATTGGCTAGCTCGGATATTAGGTTTCATTGCACTAAAAAAGGAAATTGCTTTACATCTTTAAAGTAATTCTTCAGAACTAAAGGGCTTTGATCTGTATAGTTGATTCCTCTGTCAGGCTGATAGAATGCATTCTTGCAAAAGATTTGCGTTTTCTATAGTTAATTAATTATTATTAGTTGTCTAGTTGCACAGTTGTAGAAAAATCTCACTAGATGCAATAAGTAGTAGTGGAAAGAATCATGGATTAAGGCTTTGAGAGAGGCAGAGAGCTGATAGTGGGAGTATTTGTTTTTCAGTTTAGGTATTTAATATTTCGAGTTGTATGATTGTTAAAGTTATTCTAATAGTTAAGCTAGTGGAGATTGTTTAACTTTGAGATGATATTCCACTTTTTTGATGAAATTAATTTTATTATCGAGAAGTGAAAATCCCATAAATGAAGATGTATATAAAAGGTGGAGAATTTTACTAGAAGGCATGATCGTCAGATCGTATACAGCCGTCAATACTAATCGGAATATCAAAGGTGCTCCAGATATATATAAAAAAACAACAAAATGCTCCACCGACCAATAGGAGCAAGTTTTCTAGCCCTTCCAACGCTCGCATATTTCTGTCTTTCCTATTGTCCACATGAACGCTAGAAGAGCTACTTCTCATGTGCCTCCATCTCTTCTGCTGAATTACCTAGAAGCACCTTTGTTTGCAGTTACTGGAATCATCGATACCACCTCCCGATATGCTCCGTACAATATACCATAATCTGTATGAAATAGGACAGTGAAGTAGTAAGTGATTGTTATGCTTCCCTGCCTGCTTGCACGTGACGCACCAACGAACTTGGATTATTATCCTCCTCCCCTAAAGTTTTCCGCTGTTAAGATGGCTTCATGTGCTCTTGTCCAGGTTAAAAAGGAAGCTTTAGTTGGCACTCTAGGGATCCATATTGAGAAGTAAACTCCTTGGACTCTCTTTTCAACAATCTGTGATGTCATCCTTCTGCCCTCTCCATAACCACCTGTCTATGTCCATTTGGTTTATTGAGATATCCAATTAGATACCATATTTGCTATGAGATTATGTAAAAGTATCACAATATGTCTTGGCTTTAAAGTTTTACTTTAACAGTTTCAATAGCCCTACATTGTTTTGCTAGTCCGCTGAAATAGATGTCCTGCAGTATTTTGCATCAAGATTACAGGGTTAAGAGTCCTTGGAAGATGTAGTTTAATTAGATCAGTTGGTTGAAAGATCATGATCAAGATGTAACTTTTGAGACTAGGCATCTTTGTGACAAAGTTGTTCTTGACAAGTTTATAAGTATGACCATCGTTAGGAGCCTATTTAGTTCTCTGATATGCATTTAAGCAGTAAGACATCCAAATTTGGTTCTTAAATTTTTGCATCCAAATGCTATTCAACATAAATTTTGTTTATATGCTTTAATGACGTTCATCTGATATAGTGGTTAATTGAGCTCTCGATTTGAATAATGTCTCGTACTGTATCTGTAAAACAAAAATATTTTATGTAGTTGACTGTCCATCATAGCTGAGGATTGACCGTTACTGTCGAAGAGCATAATTTGCGATAGTGGTGTGCTTGAACATGTATTATAAAATGATGTAATATGTCTGAAAATGATGTCTTATGCAAGTTATCCTATTGAGATGATTGATTAGTTTGTTACTTGTGTTAGTTCAGTATATCTGGAAGTTTACCCTCCGAACTGCGAAGTTGTAAGAGATTTTGCTCCGTTACATTATGCGCAGTTTGCTTGCTTTCTGTACCTTAGAGGTTTGCCAGGTAGTCTCGGATCAGGGGTTTTGGTAAGGACAGCTGAAATGGGATGTCAAATTTTAGAAGCAGTGTGGAATTAGGTGGAGTTACACTGTAAAATAGGGTGGGGAAAGAGAAGTCTGGGTCTGTCTGTTTGCTTTTATTCATCTTTGGATATTCCAAAACACTTTTATCAAGAAAATTTTAAAAAGCATGGTTATCAAAAAGGAGAATGGATTGCATGTGTTCACCTTTGGACTGCCCAACGACTGGAATGATTAGTGTAGATTAACTTTTGGTTGTAATTGTCATGCATGAATATGAAGGTGGCGTGCATGATACCAAATTTGCTGATCATATCAAGTCTGCTATTTAGTGATGGCCAAATTTAAGGCTTTCTAGTCTTAGTAGAGTTATCTTTTCTTTTGAGATTCGACAGTTAACAATTCCTATTTCTTTGCCAATGTGATAACCCTGAGAAACTGAGTGAACTAATGCTTAGAATTAGTTCCTATAGGCACTTTCTAAGATTAGGAGATAAGCACACCATAGCGGTAGCTTTTATACAATAAGTAGCATGCCATATTTGTATGCTGCATTGATTAATCATGGCACTGTGGTTTAAATTACAGTCATCAATCCCTTCTGCTGTGTTTTCGCATCCACGAGCCCTTGACATATTGCTTGTGATGTTGCAGAGGAAGCTGATATTGAAGTACACCCACAAATATAGGCTGGGACTTTGGAGGCCCAGATCTGAGCCTGTGAAAGCCTAATAAATCATTTGGTTGTGGTTCTTTTAGTGAAGAAAAACATTCTTGGATGGAAATTTTTCACAAGGCAGCCAACTGCATCAGGGGATATTGCCCGCGTTAGGAACTCTTTTTGATCAATAAAGTGAGAATTAGGGATTTCCATTATAAACATACACTAATAACAAATGCCCTCTTTATTTTACTTCTATCGAGACTTGTGAATTAATTATTGCATTCGTCCCCTATCATCGTGTTTGCTTTTCACACAATTGGAACATTTTGCTCTTCAGCATTGTCCTTTCACAATTAATCAGTATCAGACATTCATGTTTTACACGTAAGGTCAATATGTGGGGTACCTTTAGAATAAAAGTAGTCATATTTTAAAAAGTGATGACATTGGCATGTAAATTGAGAGATTGACAATTACTGTGGATTGTTGACAGAGGGAGTAGATGCTCATAGATAGCCTTTGTTTTTAAAAACATTGCAAATAATTGAAAACTTCTTCCCAGTGGCATTTGGTTGAAAAAATTCAATTATTCAACTTTTAGTAACAGACACCACGATCTGCTCTTCTTTTGGAAGTCTTGTTATATGATGTTTGACCTCTAAATGTGAAATTGTATCTCATAGACAAAAGGAGTAATACTTCCTGTAAGAGTTAATGTAACCAAAACATTTATGCGTTCATATCTTAAGTCAAGATTAGTAATTCTATTCCGCAACTGCAAGTCAAGCTCTGCAATGGCCCCTTCTACATTCTTAACGTACAAATGTACAACATCAAAATCATGCCTGGATCAAGGGGCATGTAGTTGAAATCCCTTTTTCTAGCACACCTACAAATATCAGGAGCTCTTTACCAAAATCCTTATTACATTTCTGTACAAGAGCAGTCGCAATTTACCCATTTCGAAATAATTTTAATTGTTTGAGGCAGTTCCTCTGTGATTCCACATCCACAACCCCTGATCTGCATTGTTGCAAGAAGTAAACAGTTACTAATGATGGAATATCCAGAAAACTGAAACCTGCTTCCATAATGCACATCACATTGTTTTTCTCTTGACTCATCTAGCCTTGTCGATTCAGACTAAATATACAGGCAAGACTTTTGAATAGACATTTTTCAGTGAAACAGAACAATGCAGAAAATATACAGTAAAATGATATAGTGGGCTTCTTGTCGAAAGTGATAAGTAACTGCACTAGCCTTCTTGACTTGCAGTAAAGCAGTTGGTTGTTGCATGATAAATTACCAATATCTATCAGGAGGCGAGCAAGTCTCATCCAGCAAGATAGATCATGTCATGGTCTGGTAGTTGTTTGAGTGCCTAATAAACCATGTTTCTTTTCAGACATTTGTGAAAGCTCGTTTCTATTTCGAGGAAGAAACACACGGCCAACACTTTTGTACAGAAAATGAAAGGGGAAGAGTTAAAATTTGATTTTGAAATGGAAGTCCCATGTCATGGTCTGGTAGTTGTTTGAGTGCCTAATAAACCATGTTTCTTTTCAGACATTTGTGAAAGCTCGTTTCTATTTCGAGGAAGAAACACACGACCAACACTTTTGTACAGAAAATGAAAGGGGAAGAGTTAAAATTTGATTTTGAAATGGAAGTCCCCAGTTGCTCCCCTCTAAAACTGGTCTGGCTGATTGTTGAGCGGATGGGAGTATCTAAGGTGAATGGTAACTTGGTAAGCGAGAACATATTCAGATACCATACCTTAAGCCAGTGAAACAGAAAAGTTAAAAAGAAAGTGGATATAAACCTACCACTCTGAACTTGAAAGGCGGCATACTAACTGCTGTCACACACGAGAGCCCAGAACACCTATAAATTAAGAAAACATTATCATGATTTACTTCATTGAGAATACAATCAACAAATGGAACAATAACAGAAAAACGAGATTGTACGATTTGAAGCCATTAGTGCAACAGTATTTTGATTCTCCTCCTATCAATGTTGAGCTAATTTCATCGTAACTCCTCTAATACACCTTTTTTTCTCCCTATATTTATAGAAATTAGCTAATGTGCTTAGGATTTTTTTTTCTTCCGTGTTATGGTATTTTCTTCCGTTGTTATATAAAACACAGCTGTATTTCCACCAAAGAGCAAATAGCAGCTTTCCTAAACCAGATGAGGTTTAATCAGTTTTTTAACATATAATGATCAATGTTTTAGCTCCAAATGAGGCAATAATTTTACTTCACATTCATTTGTACATATACAATAAAATAGTATTTCCAGAAAACTGTAATTAGTACAAACAGTGACATTCACATACCTAAGAAAGTTCAGCTACGTATTAGGGAATCTTTGAACAGACATTATGAAATGGCATTTCAAAAATTTGACTGAGTGCTACGCCATGCTTCATTAAGCACAATTCAGTCACCTTGTTAATGCCTAACTGGAAAACCAGAAACAACCTACTTAATTCCATCAAATGTAAGCAGCTTCAGTTGAAATACTAGAAGTGTGCCAATGTTGACCAGCTTAAGATTTTCATGCAAAAATTATAAGGAAAATGAAGAAAACAAGTTTCAGTAAGCTTCTGATATTGTATGATTCAACCAGAGGAAGAGGAAATCTTTAACTTGCAAAGCAAGAGGTTTTGGCTCATAATAATTAACAACAGACATAAATTGGACTTCGGTGCATTTAGCTAATGAAATTTCCAGAGCATTTTGAATAACGATATAGTTTTGTATAAAGGCAACTGCTGCAAGCTAGAGCCTTGATCTCTCTCTTTCTTGCTTATTTATTCAATTTCTTCAGCAAGTTATCATGCTTTTTTTTGGGCGCGCACTATCATTTCATATAGATAGTTCTCATAAGGAACATGGAACAAGAAGAGTTAAACACAGAAGGAATAATAAGAATTGACAACCAGTAAGCTCATATAGCCATATCATTGACACTAAAATATGTTAACCTCCATACAAGATAAACCACCTGATTATTTCTCGAAGTAATATGCAAATCCTCCATCCTAACATGTCATTTATTTTCCTCATCCTTCTGCGACAGTTTAATCATCAAAACTTAATTGGATTATTCCAAATTAAATGGACCATGCCTTGAACCACCCAGTGTCTTTAAGTTCAATGTTCCTATAAGAACTGTATGCTAAAGTATTGCAGTAAAGAGCTGTGATCTTCATTTTCTTTCAGGCAGTTTAGCAGCAAAAGAAAAACTAATCTTCAGATATATCTAACGGAGGCAAAAACAAGAGAAATTTGAACGTACAACAAAATGTAGTACCTTCAAAAGTAAAAATACCTAACAACTTTATATGCAAGTCATTATCTCACTCAAAACGATAAACACTAGGTCAGCAATAAAAAGACATACTTGGTTTAGACGCCCTCACGCCCTAGGATATTGAAAGAAGAACATTCAAAAGATATCCAAGATAACAAATTTTATGAAGAAGTTCATACTCTCAATAATGCCGATGCATCAAAATTTCGCATGCCCCAGGATACGAGAGTACCTTGAAATATAATAATCAAGAAGAACAGAACCGTGATCACTGTTGCTAATATATTCATCTTCGAAGATGATGCACTCTCCTTTTTTATTTTCTTCAATGCCTTAATTCTTTCGGTCCTTCTACGCTTCCATATAGCAATCTCAGATATTTCCTTGACGAACTTAATGTCAGCAGCATCTAGTGATGGACCCTTTGGGGGTCTAGGTGGTTTCGGAGGCTTTGGCTTCCTAGTCCTCTCAATATCCATTTTATCGTCCCTCGAATTTTCCATCTCCTCTCTTACTTTGTTCGACCAAATTTCTGTACACCTAACAGAAAGCTCATCAGCACTTAACACCTTCTTATAAGTATTTGAACCATCTTGCTTCCTTGCAAATCCATATGACGATTGAACTCCACAAAACCCACTCCCCGCTTTATACAACTCTTTATTAGAAGCTTCCTCAGTCAGATCTTGGTTATTACTGCCATCTTCCTCACTAGTTGTTCCCCCACTCTCTAGATCTATCTCTAAATCACTTTCCCTTGACTGTATATGATCCATAGCTAACCGAAGATTTCTTTGTCTATCTATCTCCTAGTCCTTTAGCTGAAAGCAAAAGCACAAGTTAGGTACAAACTCACTGGAAAGCTAAGCCATTGTACGGAATTTGTTCTTGCTTCCAAATCTTGGAAATATGGACATCACATAAAAAAACACATGCAACCATCCAACTAAAGAAAAGGAAACACTAATCTGGGTTTTTAATAAAATAAAAGACATGTAGACAAGACACCAAAACATTCAAATGAACACTTCCCTTTTTGCCATTTTAAAAATATTTACTTGAGCCAAAAAAGCTATCCAAATTTTAGGCCAATAAACAACATTATCCTATAACCTGAAAAAGATACCGACTTTTTCTCATGTTCCACAAACTTCAAATGGATTTGAAATGCCAACTCAATGTTGTGCTTCTTTAAGAATACAATATATAAATAATTATACACACAGTCACACACAGAAAAAAGTACATACATATACAAGGCAATTTCAATGACATGGAAGATTCGTTTCAGTAACACAGAAGACAGACATGGAAAATGACAAGAGAAAGGAGCTCTAGCAAAACCCCAAAGAGGATGAAAATCAACAGTGGTCCCTTTGCAGCTGGAATATGAATAGAAAATTTATATTTAAAGCATTTACACAAGCTAGAGTTTAAATGCACTCATTTCTTTGTTATCAAACAAAAAGGAATGGAAATTGGACATCAATTCCCATTTTGAAATTTTTTAATCCGAATAATCCAAAAAAATTATTCATTCTCCCCAAAGGGGGAAAAGAAATCCACAAAGGAGGAAAAAATTGAGAGGAAAAAAGTATGAGAAAAACCGATGTGGGTATAAAATTATATGATTAGCAGATCAAAACCTAAACATTATAAACGCAAAAAAAAAGTGATGCTTTAAATAGTAGTATTAATTACTATGAAATAAATAAAAGAGGATTTTATACATACATTGAAGGCGACAACATGGGGAGGATTTGGCCATGGAAATGGATTTCATCATTGGCTTCTCTGAGCTGCGGCAGGGTGTGGAGGAGGAGGAGGCAAGGAGGTGAAGAAGAAAACGAGGTCGTTTAAGGAGACAAACGTGTCCTTAGGACATGGTAACCTTGTAATGGTCAAAGGATGCTTGGAACATTGCCAACACAAACACTTGAAGATAATGTTCAAAAGCAATTGGCATAATCTACGTGCGGTTTGTGGGGTCCGTGCGGTTTGTGGGGTCCGTGCGCCGGTCTTATATTTGTCTTAGTCAAATTTTAAAATTTGCGTTCAATTTTCCAATTTGTATATCACATTTTGAAACGAAAAGAGATAAATAAAAGAATAATTAACCCACATAGCCGTTCTTTTTCTCACTTTTACTTATCCACTATAGATTTTGCACATCCTTAAAAAATAATAAATAAAATATATAATTTATCATGATATTCATATTAATTGATACATATATTTAATAATTTTGAAAAAATAATTTGAAATGAGTAATTAATATTGTGGTATAACAGGAAAAAAGAAATTATCTTCTCTTAATATGCTAAAACAAGAACAACAAACCAGTGTAGTCCCACAAGTAGGGTCTGAGTCTTAATATACTAAAAGTGACAAGTAAAAGTGAAATACTGGATAAGCAAAAGTGAACGGAGGGAGTATTAAGAGAGTGATGATATTTCACTGACCTTAAAAATATATCTCATTTCGAGCTAAAAACTTCGGATGAATATCGCTTCTAATATTGGTAAAAACCTGCGAAGTATGTACCATAACCAACCAAAATAACGAATTTACAACCTAAGAGCATCCAACACCTTTGCCACCTTCTAGGAAGGGTGCATAAGCTATTGAACCTCTGACAGAGTCTTCAGCCCCACCTCTATAGTTACAAAACTTTTGGACTAAATATTGATATTTTCTGGCTTTTCTAGATTCCCTATGTTTCTCAAGTCTCACCTTAATATCTCTTTGTATCTGCGCTATTACAAACTCTATATTTGCACTTGTTTGCCTAAACACTTTCTAATTCCTAACTTGCCATGTATAGTATATCATGACTCCCCATATAGCAGTAACAACTTCTCTTTGTGATCTTCTCTACCAACTGATGACACTCTATTTAAGACCACTTCTTTGAAGAGAGATACAATCGAGGTACCTCATAGGTAGAGTACCTCTAGTAAATCCTGTATACTCTATGATTCTGTCTTGTTCTTCTTCAGGTATCCCAGCCAGAGATATATTTGATTTATCCAGGTTTGCCACTAAACCTGTCACTCTGCTAAAATGGTTTATAGCTTCCATTATTCTGGTTATAGAAGTCAAGTTACCCTTGCAAAATACCATCAAATCATCAACAAAGCACAGATGGTTTAGTCTTGTGGACTTGCACATTGGGTGATACCTGAAATTAGGTAAATCCCCCACTCTCTTCATAACTCTAGTCAAGTATTCCATCACTAACACAAATAGTAGATGTGACATAGGATCTCCCTGCCTGAGGCTCCCCCTTCCTTCAAAGAACCCATATTCGTCCCCATTTACTTTTATTATGAATTTTGTTATTGTTACACAAGTTATTACCAATCTCACAAAAGTTCTTGGGAAACCATATCCATTTAATGCTTCCTCAATGAAGACTCAACTTACCATGTCATAGGCCTTTCTCAAATCAATCTCCATTAAACATCTAGGGGATATTTTTCTATTATAATGCCTCAGCAGGTCGTGGCAAATTAGTACATTATGAATGAGAGACCTACCTTGAACAAAGGTAACTTGATTCTCATTAACAATCAGTGACAGTACCTGTTTCAACATTGCACATATCATCTTGGATATACACTTATATATCACATTGCAGCAAGATATAGGTCTAAACTCATTAGCATTCAGTGGTGATGCTATCTTTGGGATCAAAGTAATCATTGTAGAGTTTAGTTGCTGCAAAATTTTTCCATTAGCAAAGAATTCTAAAACAGCTTCAGTGATATTCTTTTCTACAATGCTCCATGCCTTCCTGTAAAAACTACTTCCATATCCATCAGGCCCTGGGCTTTTGTTTGCATCACTACTGAACATGGCATTCTTTACTTCCTTTTTAATATATGAACTCAACAATTGTAATTGATCACCTGTAGTTAGTACATATCCATTCTTTAGGAAACTATTAAAAGTTTTGGTTCTATTTTTCTCCTTCCTCCCCAACATGTCCTGGTAGTATTCCACCAGTACCTTAGTAATATCATCTTGATTTGTCTGCATGTTCCCTGCTTGTCCTTCAACTGAATGATTGCCTGCTGTAATTGTCTATGTTTTATCACTGAAAAGAAATATTTGGTATATCCATCCCCCAATTTGATCCACGTGGCCTTACTCTTTTGTTGCAAAAATATTTTTGCTAGGTAAGATGTCCTCCTAAATTTTATGTACTGTTCCCTTTCTTTCTATTGTAGCGTTGTATCTCCAGGTCTTGTGTGTAGGGCCAATTGGAGTCGACTTAATATATTCCTGTCCTCTTCTACATTAGATATAATATTCCTAAAATATTATCCATTTAGTGCTCTGAAACTCCTTTTTAATTTTTTCAGTTTCTTTATAACTCTCCACATACTACATCCATATATTTGTTGCTCCCAGACTTCCTGTACTTTGTCTAGAAATAATGGGTGGCTAGTCCATACATTGCAGAATTTGAATGGTCTTCTTTCTCTTCTAGGCATGCTCAACTTCTTAGTTTCATAGGACAATGATCATTAATTCCTTATGGTAGGAAGTTTTGCAATGAAAGCAAACATCTTACTTAACCACTCATTGTTGACAAAGACCCAATATTTTAGAAAAGACCCTACTCTCTCCCTATTTATCATTCCAAGTATAATGGCTGCCCTGATGAGGTAATTCCAGCAGGTTGTAATTGTCCACGCAGGAGTGAAAATCAACTACCTCAGCTATACTCACTTGGTTCCCCCTAATTCTATCCTCCAACTTCAGCACATAATTAAAATCCCCCATGAGTACCCATCGTAGATTGTTACCCACATTCACTATCTCCAAATAACTCCATAATGATCTCTTTTCTTCTCATGTGTTGAACCCATATACTACAGTTAGCAAAACAAGTCATCTATAGTGATATAGCTTCCATCTTATAAGTTATTGCCTGAGTAGTCTCACTCAGTGATGTAACCGTATAGTAGTCGGGCCTCCAAGTCACACAAACTCTACCATTTGGACGGTGGTCCAAGTTTGTCACAAACCCCCATCCTCCAAATATTGTATTTGCCACCTTCCCTATCTTATTTGCTTAATTTTTATTTCCAAGAACCCCATAAGTCCTGTATTTTCTCTACTACATAGGAGTTTAACATCCCTTTGTTTGTTAGGGGCATTGAGGCCCCTAACATTCCAACACAGAATATTATCCATGCTCCTGGGGTTGCACTGCATTGCCTCCCCATTCCTGGGTGGACTTCTAGGAATTTGAACTTCTGATTCAACCGTTGTCAAGACTTGAAAGGTGTTTTTTAGCTCACCCCTTTATTTTTGCACTATGTCACCCTTAGTTGTATTCAAAGGTGTGACCCATCCGACATTCACTCTTTCACTTGGTTATTGTTTCTCCTTTCCTCTAGTCTTGTATGCATTTCCATCTACTACACTGTTCTGTCCCTTTCCCCTTTATCAATTCTAAGACCCATTTGTGTACTCCCCTGTGTTGTTGTGGCTCTTCCAGGTGATGTTGATCCTATTGGTTTCCCAATACTTGGTTCTGCTATGTTTTCCTCCTTTTCTCTTCCCCCTTTTGCTTTAGGTGGAGACCCATTCTTCTTTCTATATTGTGCCTCTGAGTGACCATACTTGTGGCACATAGTTCACAATATTGGTTTCCAATCGTATTGTACTTGTTGTTCAATCAAATTTTCTCTTTCATTTTTGAAAATAATTTTGTCTGCCAGATTGGAATCTACCTCCATCTCAATGAGTAGTCTAGCAAAGTTGAGGCCCTTCTTCTGCTCTGTATTATGATCAACCATGATAGGTTTGCCAATCAAATTCCCAATCTCACTTAACCCTTTAGCACTCCAGTATTTAAAATCCAGACCATGGAGTTTCACCCAAATTGACACTGTGTGTAGTGCCTCTCTTGTGAACTCTATATCTACTTCCCATGCTTTCACAATCAGATGTTTATTATCAAAGTGGTAGATTCTACCTTGAATGACCTCATTCCCCTCACACACAGTATCAAATCGAACAAGAATTATTTCATTCTTAAGCATTGAAAACTTATTGATTCCATGTTTCCCCCAGATCCTTTGTATGTATCCGTTCAGAACAAAGAATGGCGGATAGGCCCCAAGTACGTAGCATACAAGTGCAATTTTGCAATAAGAAATTTATGATGCAATATCCTCATCTTCAATTTCATAGATCGAAGACTCACCATGCTTATCGGGTGATACAAATTCTAATTTGAAACCAGCATTTGTGATCTTCGCAATGTCGAAATTATCCCAGATCGATCCCTTTTTCTCCCCTGCTTCAACTTCTTCTACTTCATCTGCCCATGAGATTTTGCTCCTGCTACTTGAAGCCTGAGCTAGATTCACCCACTTCTCTGATGTTCCTCGTGTTTCAATTTCTTTAGCATTCGTCTTTATTGTTTCAGCTTCCCCAAATCGCTAGGGTTTTGCTCCATTGTTTCATTCGTTTTACCGCCCCCTATTTCTTCCATCTTATTCTTCAATTGTGTCAATTCTTTCTTCTTTTTGTCCCATGCTCCAAGAGTAGCAGATTCCCGAGCTTTAATTGCCTTCAGAGTAGGGTTTTGTGCTCTCTTCCCCATGGATGGCTCACGTTAGTCTAACATGCGCCAAGAGAAAAAAGAGACCTTTTCATTGACCGTGTTTTTTCATTGCTTCTAATATCGATTTAAAAAAAAAAAAAATTAGTATCTCACTTGCTGTAGGATGCTCGCTTTAAAATCTACTAATTCTAATTTACGTAACGTCATAAGTCTTTGGATTGAATAGGAATTTCAGAAAATGGAACTGTAATAAAATTAAGATAAAGGTTATACTGAGAAGAGGGTTATTGATAAGAGGACTCAAAACCCAAATAGTCGTCTACTTAATCTATTAAATAAAAAATAGTCTGCAAATATAAATATATGTCAAAATAAAACTTATACAAATATTGCTTGACGAAGGAGTAAAAATAAAAATAAACCCTAATTTCTGTTAAAAGCTCTACATCCTTTATTTCTTGGAAACTTATAAAAATACATTTTTTTCTTCTAGAAAATTATAAAAGTACTTTTTTCTTTTTGATATTGAAACATCATCCCAAGCCAAGATGATGAGTGATCCTCAACCGAGTACGGCTAACCATGTCAAATGGGCAGGGAGGGATCTAAATAGCACAACAAAAAATTAACAAAAGGCCTAATAGTGCTGCAGTCCAGCACAATCTTAACTTCTGAATGTAGAAAAGAACTACCTAGATACTTGGAAGCCAGTATATACCCAATTGTATCCAAAGAACTCCATTTTGCTTTCACCTTGTCTGGGATGGGAAGGTTGGCAAAGAGGAATTAGAAGATGATCATCTATTTGTAATAATAAATAGCATCCTTCCTATTCTACTATTTATAAAGTACTCATTATCAAAAAAATTAGACTACTAAGTTATAAACCGTTACACAATAACAATGTTAATTTAGTTACAGAAGCCATGCAATAAAATCTGCAATATTAAGAACGTTCGGTATCATACGGGGGGAAGTGCACAGTTAGCCACTAATAAGACATGTATTTACTTTTAAGCCATTATTTAAAATGTCTTTAGTCTTTAGCCACTGCTTTAATAAATTTCATCCGCTGGACAAAAATAACCTTCTGCTCACAAAGTTCAAGACCAAGTGTCCTTAACTTAAGAGCTTGTTACTGTAAGTTCAGGACTAGCTTTCCTTAATTTATGAGCTTGTAAGTCTAAGTTTAGGACTACTTGCCCTTAACTTTTGAACTTGTAACTCTAAATTCAGGACTACATGTCCTTAACTTTTGAACTTGTAACTCTAAATTCAGGACTACATGTCCTTAACTTTTGAACTTGTAACTCTAAATTCAGGACTACATGTCCTTAACTTTTGAACTTGTAACTCTAAATTCAGGACTACATGTCCTTAACTTTTGAACTTGTAACTCTAAATTCAGGACTACATGTCCTTAACTTTTGAGCTTGGAACTCGAAGTTCAGGACTACCTGTCCTTAATTTCTGTGCTTGTAACTCTAAGTTAAGGACTACCTGTCCTTGATTTCTGTGCTTGTAACTCTAAGTTAATGACCAAGTGTCCTTAATTTTTGAACTTCCAACTCTAAGTTCAGGACCAAGTGTCCTTAACTTATAAGCTTGTTATTGTAAGTTCAGTACTAGCTGTCCTTAATTTATGAGCTTGTAAGTCTAAGTTAAGGACTACATGTCCTTAGTTTTTGAGCTTGTAACTATAAGTTCAAGACTACATATCCTTAACTTTTGAACTTGTAACTCTAAGTTCAGGACTACCTATCCTTAATTTTTATGCTTGTAACTCTAAGTTAAGGACTACCTGTCCTTAATTTATGTGCTTGTAACTATAAGTTAAGGACCAAATCCTATCAATAACACATGCATCAACAAGAATCAGAAACCCAATTCAACATTGAATCCATATATAAAATTGAAGGCAAAAGCCGAATAAAGGTGGCAATCACACGAAACAAGACAAAGCTGGCCCTCTTTAGAAAAACAACAAGATATCATTTTTCATCTTCGTAACTGTTCAAAGCCATCAAATTCACAAGAATCAAAAAACCCAATTCAGCATTTTTATCACAAACAACATATGCATCCACAAAAACATGTTTCTGCATCGAACTTGTGAGAGAGAAGCGAGGGTTTGGGAAGAAAAGCAATGGAAGAAAGGGTAAAAATATCTTTTCATATTAATTTTAATAAAGTAGTGGCTATTTTTGCTCAACATTAGAATTACTGGATATAAAATAAATACCACCTTAAATAGTGGCTATCCCACGCCATTTATACGCGCAAAGAGATGTAAGATGTTAATATTAACTTGATATAGCATGAAAATTAAATGCAGAAAATACAAGACGCTCAAAAGTAAATGTAAAATATCTCTAACACGGGCAAAGCTAAAACATCAAAAATCAGACTCGTTGCAGCAACCCACAATATCAAATTAATGTAAGGATTCTCATAACACGGTTAATCATTGACAACTAATTAAGCATAACAAGAACGATTAATACATAATTTTCAGAAGTTTAGATGCATAATTAGACAAACATAAGTCCCTAAATGATGGAAGCTGGGATACAAACTTCATTCGGTTGTCGCCGAATAACCTAAAAAGAAAACATAGATAATACTGGGAAACGATAAAGAAGAAGAAATCATATATTTAAAACTATAAATTAACTACAAGAAGATTCAATCATTCGTTCGAAAGCAAGGAGCGTGTGACCAATCTTGTAGGAAGCATATGCATTAATGCAAGCATATTCAACTTGGATTTCTGTCACGACCCAAAATCTCACCCGTCGTGATGGCACCTATCTAAATACTAGGAAAGTCGAGAATCTCAATAAACCACCATATTTTTTAAGTTTGAAAATATAATATCTAAATTTAGCGGAAGAAAAACTCACAAATACATATATAAATACTCCCAAAACCCAGTGTCACTGAGTACATGAGCATCTAATATGAATACAAGTCTGAAAAATATGGTCCATTATAGTCTGAGACCAAATACAGTAAATAAGGAGATAGGGAAGGTGAGGCAAGGTCTGCGAAATACGACAACTACCTCTGAATCTCCGGAAAATCAACTGTGCGAAAGAAATCAACACACGCTATGGTCGGGAACACCTGAATCTGCACACGAAGTGTAGGGTGTAGTATGAGTACAACCAACTCAATAAGTAATAATGATAAATAAGGAACCGAAGATAGTGACGAGCTACACAGTTATAGTTCACTTTCAGTAATTCCAGCAAGAATAGACATGCTTTCAAATCCAACAGTTTAAGTCAAATCAATTTTATACAGTTCAAGTTCATGTAATCTGGATATAAAAATCTTTCAGAGAATTTCACAACAATGACAGATAGCAACTAAGTTCTACAACAAATAAAAAGCAAGTACATCCTCTCAGGACAACAATCACTCACTGGGCTCCCAGCCCTCAGCACGCACACTCAATGGGTACCCGCGCTTACTGAGAGGGAAAGACTCCGGAGGGGCTCCTACAACCCAAGCGCTATAATCCGCACGGACAACTCACGTGCTACACAGACAACTCACGTACTATAATATCCCGCACGGACAACTCACGTGCTGCACGGACAACTCACGTGCTATAATATCCCGCACGGACAACTCACGTATTGTATGGACAAGTCACGTGCTATAATATCCATACCTCACCGACATGCCCTCGGTCTTACTCAATCATCAACCTCTTTAGTCTCTCGGGCTCTCGGAATTCACAAAGATCAGCCCAAACAAAGATAACATAGTGTATCAACAAAAATCAAGAAAGACTGAAGTATGGTATGCAAGTAAAATCATGACTGAGTACAAGACATTAATTAGCAAATAATTCAACAAGTACGCGACCTCTGTGGGTGCCAACAGTACTATCATATAGCCTAAGCATAATTTACAGTCAAATTTCTTTAACACATAGAGAGCATATAACTAACAACAAGTTATTCAATTTTACAGTTTCACGGGACGGATCAAGTCACAATCCCCTCGGTGCACGCCCACACGCCCGTCACCTAGTATGTGTGTCACCTCCAAAATAATCACATGACACAAAATCCGGGGTTACATACCCTTACGACCAGATTTAAAACTTTTACTTACCTCAAACCGTGAAATTCTTATTCCGCTAAGCCTTTGCCTCGTGAATTGGCCTCCAAACGCCTCGAATCTAGCCAAAAATAATTCGATTCAGTCAATAAAATTTATTGGAATTAATTCCATAAGAAAATGCTAATTTTCCATAAAAATCTAAAATTTAGCTCAAAAATCGCCCGTGGGGCCCACGTCTCAGAACCAGACAAAAGTTATAAAATCCGAAAGCCCATTCAACCACGAGTCTAACCATACCAATTTTAACAAAATCCTTGACCCTCAAATCTTCAATTTAAACCAAGAGAGTTTTCTAAATTTTTCCCACTTGATTCACCCAATAAATGATAAAAATAACCATGAATTCGTGAAATTTAACCAATATTGAGTTAAGAACACTTACCCCGTTGTTTCCTCTGAAAATCTCCCAAAATCGCCTCTTCCCGAGCTCCAATCTGTTAAAAATGGAAAATTTCAGAACTTAAACTCTCTGCCCAGTCTTTTGCTCTATGCGATCGCGAACAATCACACCCGATCGCGAAGAACAGTTTTCCACTACCCAGGTTTAACCCTACGCGATCGCGAACAATCACACGTAATCGCGATGCACAAGATTCCAGCTCTACGTGATTGCATCCCTCTTCACGCGATCGCATAGAGCAAACGCGTGGCCCAGCTTCCTCTCAAGTTTCCCCTACGCGATCGTGGCCTCTTCCACGCGTTCGCATAGCACAGACTGGCCCAACCTACACGATCGCAATTGACCTCACGCGATCGCGAAGAACAAAATCAACACTGCCTCAACTAAGCCTTCGCGATCGCGTCCCAATTTTCACGATCGCGAAGAAGGTCTGAAACACGAGCAAAAAACATCTACCAGCAGTGCCAAAATGAAGGAAAATAATTCGAATACTATCCGAAATACGCCCGAGCCCCTCGGGACCCCAGCCAAATATACCAACAAGTCCTAAGACATCATACGAACGTATTCGAGTCTTCAACTCACATCCAACAACACTA